TCGATTCGGGAAATAATATGTGACCGTATCTACCTGATGCATACGATGCCGTTAATGTTAATTTAGAATTCCCATGATCCAATCCTTGCGTCTACCAACTTGCGGACCCATCAAATGTCTCTCCTAGATTAGAATCATCCTTGTAACTATATTAATAAATCTTTATACGCGGAATCAATCACTTAACTCATCAACTTTATCGTGTTGGTGAATGGCCATCTAACCATTTCTTTGGCTTTCTCCTCCATTTCATCCAGTCTATTAAATATATTGTCATGCCATTCCTCCAATGTACTAATTATGGCTTTAAACTTTTCATCATTTGAATCAAATTATGCCTCGAACCCCTTTGATATCTGATAAATCATTTTCCGATTTTGGTGGTGGTAACGAAATGGAAATATTTTAGGCGTGATAATAGACGAATTTTGATTTTCAAAAGATATATATGATTTCACAAATCGTAAATCATTTTCTTTTGGATATTCTGAATTGGTTTTAAATAATAATGATTTTTGTACCTTTTGGATTTTAATACTGACGCTCTTATCAATCCTGTCAAAAATAATGTTTTCCCCAAATTTGTGTTTGATGAAAATATTTGATAAATTTTGAAATTTTCTCATCAGAAAATTAATTATATACCATTTTTCAAGAAAAAAAAAAAAAAATAGTCTAAATTTAACTAAACCGACTAACGTTATAAAAATAAAGATGATATCAAATTTGGAAATTTCATGTAATCCAAACAGGAGGTGATGACTATATAAGGGAGTTGAGGTGATATATGTCACGTGACGCGATTAAAGTAGTTATTCAAATTTATATTTAGATGATCAACAATAATGATAACTTGTTTTTTCTTTCGTCCTTCAGCAACACGAAAAAAAAAAAAAATCAATGGAATCTCCAGATAGTTCATTTCAAATGGAAAATGAATATGAAGTCGAAAAAATATTAGATCAAAAGGTTATAAATGGGGATATTTGCTTTGAAATAAAATGGAAAGGTTATGGTCCTGAGTACAACACTTGGGAACCACATCATAATCTTAATTGTCCTGAATTATTAGACAATTTTGTACATGAATATCATCTTAAAAATAAAAAAAGAACGTTGGAAAAAAGTCGTAATTTTCAACGTAATTCAAATACATCCACCATTACTAAAAACGGAACTACTTCTACACAAGTAAACAAAAAAGAGGGTAAAAAAATCATCACCACTGGTATTAAAGAAACACGGATACAAAGAAGTAATTTGGTAGAAAATTTTAATAAAAGTAATAACGGTAATGGGGTAAAAAAACCATTGACATTGATTGAAAAATTCAACCAGCAATCACAATTTCCACAATTAACTTCTAATAAAGGACCTCGATCTGTGGCACCATTTCAATCACCCAAAGCTTTTGAATTTGAAAGATTTCTTAGGCGCGCTATTAAAAATGGACCTCCAATTTCTGTGATAAATGACATTGATGACGCCGGAATACCACCAAATTTTACATATATTGAAAATTACATTTATGGTGAAGGTGTTCCATGTCAAGCTGACCTTATTGAACGATTAGTGGGATGTCAATGTAGAATGGGATATTGTACAGCTAAATCGTGTTCATGTTTCACGGAACATACGGGAGGGAGATTAAATTATGACCGAACGACATTTCAAGTAGTGTTAAAACCTGGAAATATCATTTATGAATGTAACTCCAAATGTAACTGCCTTTCTAATTGTATCAATCGAGTTTCTCAAAGAAAATCAAATTTGGATCTGGTAATTAAAAGGATTCCTAAAAAAGGTTGGGGTGTGGTTACGAAGAGAAAAATTCCTGAACGTATGTTTGTAACATATTATTATGGAGAAGTAATAAAATCAACTGAAGCTGAAAAACGTGGATCTCAGTATGATACAAAAGGATTAACTTATCTTTTTGATCTGGATTATAATGCTGAAGATCATGATGAATGTGCTTATACTGTAGATGCTACAAACTTTGGAAATTTCTCTCGTTTTTTTAATCATTCTTGTGATCCTAATTTGGTGGTTTATCCTCTTATCAATGATAATGCTGATATTAGATTACATCACATTGCTTTCTTTACTATTAAAGAAATTCAAATTGGTGAAGAATTAACTTTTAATTACTTTGGAAATTTTCATCATGAAGTAGAAGGTGGATTAAATAAAATTAAAGAAAAATATATCTGTAAATGTGATGCTACAAGTTGTATTGGATATTTTCATAAATAATTAATTATAGGTATAGATTTATGGTTTATAAAGATTTAATCACTAATAACAAAATAATAAAAATAATGCATACCAATCTTACTTGGATAAAAAGAATATTAATTTGCAAATAATCTTTACATTATGTAAAAAAAAAAAAAAAAATTGAAATATATATTTAAGAAACAATTTAAGCAGGAAAAAAAAACTTTAGTAAAAAACTTTATTGAGATTATTTTACAATATATCAAGTAAACAACAAATAAAAGAAATGTTAAATATTTGTTTTAAACCTTTTTTTTCTTGAATGTTTATTTGCTATATCAACATTCTGAAAATTATTCAAGGATTTTTCCTTTTGATGTTGATTATTTAACATCTTTATTTGTTTTTATTTTAATTTCTTTTCAAGTCTTTGGTTTTTAACTTGTTCTTTATTTACTGGTGCAGTTGTTATAAGTTGTTTAATCTGTGTGGAAACATAATCAAAACCAATTGATTGTGTTAAATTTTAACTTTTGGTTGTTGTTTAAAAAAGAAAATGGATGGTGATTTTGTTGTATATAAAGAAGTAGCAATTTCAACCTCCACTTTTTGTTTAATCATATTATTGAATAGTAATGAAGTTGTTTCTTTTTCCAATTCCTCTTCATCTTCAGTAATTTTTCGTTTCTTTAACAAATTTTCTGATGGTTTAAGTGGATTTAACCAAGGTACATCTATGGGTTTAACTTTATCCCTAATCATTTTATAAATTCTTATAAATGCTAATGAATTTGTCTGTAATCAATTACAAAGATTAAAAAACTTTTAAGCACAAAGAAACTCATCATGAATCAAATTTTTACATGTAAATACCTTTACACCAATGCATGAAACTCCCTTAAAATTCACTGCTTCAGAAATTCTTTTTGAAGCTCCTAATGGTAATGAAACAAGTAAGACACCACCAGCTATACAACAAATTGTTGGAAAATGAGAATAAAATTGTGGAGGAAGATCTGCCTTACATATAAAAATCATTTCTAATGAAGGATGGTATTGTTCTTGTGTTTGAAAAAGTGGTTTGACGTTGATCATCAGGATTAGTAGATACCAAATTATCATTAGATAAATGATTTTTATGGTTAAATCTTGAACGAATTTGTGGATTTGTCATTCGTTCGAGATGTTTTGTTACTTCGTTAAGACCAAAATATATATTAGAAAGAATTGGTGGCGGTATTAGTGATCGCTTTTTAATTATTGATGCATCAACGTTAGTATCATCAAGGTCAACATCGACCACTTTATTAAGGCTATTATCAGATTTTCTTTTTTGACTCTTTACAGCCTTGTTATATTCTCCTATCACTGATAAAGTTCTATAAAATGGAAATTTATTAATAACGTTAATGGCACTTTTGAATTTATATAAATTTTTAATTTAGACAAATGATTTCTCATAAACTCACTCGCAAAGGGCATCCAAGATTTCATTTTGATCTTTAATTGAAACGTCGGGCCTAAAAGGAAATGATTCGTATTATTAATATGGTATTGAATAGTCTATTATTATATTATCATTTCCTATTTCTGTTAAATACTTGCCAGCTTATATTAAACGGAGAATCGAGAACAGATTTGAAAACAATCTTTTGTTTCATTTCTTGTGTCCTAATCGTTTACAGTCCTAGCACCTTGACTTTGAACACTTCCACTTTTTTGATCATTATTTATCCTTTCTCTCCCTTTTATCCCTTGTGAGTACTTAATTGTAGATATAGGTGGTTGTTTTTGAGACATCTTTTCTTTTTTTAATAATTTCCTGATAATCTATATATTAATCAAGACTCATTGATTGGTCAGAAATAGGGGAAATTTTTCGTTTCGGAGTGGTAGACGTGTCACGTGCCATAAAGGAATTTAATAATGCTCGAAACTAACCAAAATAAATAACGTTAGGTTTGTACAGTATTATAGATTTAAATAATATTGATTAAATTTTTTTACTTTATTGTTGTAATTAATTCTTTGAAATTAAAATCTTGAATAATTAATTTTAATTATATAATAACATCTGAAATACTACTTTCCTAATTGATATAATTAATTTTTTCCGAAAGTTTATATTTATATATATCGCTTCATTAATCAACATCATGAAGTTGCACTTCGAGAGCTTTCTAAATAAGGTCATTTGTTGAAGGAATTTATAAACCATTAACGAAGATATTCTGAGATCTGGAACAATAAGTTTTTTTTAATGAAAACTCGCGTCTGATTTTTTAAAAAAACAATATTTCCTAATCTTTTTAATGATTTCGCCTTATGATGATAACTCAAAGTAATATTATTCACGTAAAATGATTAAAAATATCATTACTTTCTTGTATTACGTGTATCTCTCCTTTTCTCAATAAATTACAAAGTATCTCGATGAGGTTCCTTAATTTATCAATGAATAGAATAGAAAAGATTGGGAATTTTTCTTAGCGAAAGTTTTAAAACCAAGCTCGTGATAAATAAGCGATCTAGATTTTGATAAGTCATTCGCTAATACAATGTATTCTTTTTTCCGATGACATGATGAATACCATATTATAGATAAAATTTAATATCTCTTTTATCACTTTTTATTACACATCATTACTTAAATGACGACTTGTTAATTCTTTTGATGTTTGCTAAAAAAAAGCTTTTATGTTTTCATATTTTCATAATTTACTCTCACAAAATTTATTATTTTTTAGATTCAGTTCAATTAATCTCCACCCATTCTTAATTTTCTTTATCTTTTGCCATCTACCTAATCTGTGCTCTTGTCCTACACCAACTAAAAGAAATGTTTTTTCGTCAATTACAGGTGTTACAAATTGTATTTTTTACACATAATAATTTGTTTTCAGAGACCTTTATAAATGTAAAAAATATAAATTCTTTTGAGAATAATGAACAAAAGAAAAAGAAAAGAAAATCAAATGCAATTTAATAATTGAATTTTATTTTTTAAGATTATAATTTATTTTTTATCATATTTTTATTTTATTTTTATTTTTATTTAATTTTATTTTATTTTTTTTATTTAAAAAAAGAAATTATAAAAATAATAAAATGTTGAATGCATTATTTGAATGCAAAAGATTCACACGTATTTACTGATATTATTACATAATATAATATTGTTGATCTTAAATAAAATTGCATCTTTAAAAAAATTCATTATACAAAACTATAATACTTATCAAAAAAAAATAATAAATAAATAAATAAATAGTAATAATAATTTTATTAAATTTTCTCTCTATCTAAAATATAAAATTTGTATCTAAGATTATTCTCCATTTAAAAAATCCTACACAACAATCTATTCTTATAACTTCAATAAATTGAAAACCACTAAATTTATTAAAATATAACTGTCTATCATTATCATATTGCAAATCATCAATTTTATGAACATAAGCAAACATTTGAGTTGATTCATTATGTTTATGTGAAACAAAATATTCTACTTCACCATATATTTCTTCTTATATGAGATTTCTACTTGCATTTATATTATAAGTATTTTATCAACCGTAATGTTAATCTGAAATAAAATAAATTCAATAATTTAATATCTTTTAATAAATCTAATCAAATAATAAATAAAATCTAATACTCACAAATACAGAATAATTGTTTTTACTTTTTATTTTATTTTTTGATATCTATTTAGAACTTATGATATAATTATCTTTAGTTTTTAACTTCCTATATTTTATTGTATTTAAAAAAATATTTTAAATTAATTCAAAAATAAATTAAATATAAAATCCTTAATTAATTATAATCTTTTATTGTAATATTATCTTAATAATTCTTATATTAATATTATATATGGCTGTATAAATATCTTCAATTTTTTAATTTTGCTAAAATTAAAACATATTTTTTGAATAGTGAATAAAATTTATATTTATCATATAAAATAAAACTAAAAACTCTATGAGAAGCTCATATTTTTTCTTTATCTGGAAATATCTCTTATATAATTTTTTAAATTTTAAATAATTGAATCATTCATTTAAAATTATATTATTCTAAAGATTTCATAAAGATGTATTTGTAATTTAACTAATATAATTAGCATTCTATATATTCTTTTCATTAGAAATTACCAATATTTTCTATATAAATCAAAATCTTCTATACTTTCAACTACATATAATAAATAATAAAAAGATATTAAAAAAATATTTAATTGATCTTTCTTATCGATATTTGTATAATCCTTATAAATTATATATAAATAAATAAAAATGATATCAATTTTATAGTATGTAAATATATTTATATACTTACTTTGAAATATGATTATAAAAACTTTTAGTTTTCTTCTAATAATAAAATATCTTCTTTTTTATATTTATTTATATGCATAAATAAGCAGCAGTAATAAATTCATTCTAATTTTTGATATATCTATAAATTTATTTTACAAATTAAAATTTAAATTAAATAAATAATTAAAATATTTATTATAAATATAATTTTATACCTATTAAATAATTTGGATTTCAGTAAAAGTACTGAATACAAAGTAATACTAAATATAAAGTAATCCAATTTGCTTATTCTTCAACTTTTTATCTAACATTATATTTCTAGATAATCTTTCAAAATTTAAAGGTATATTTTTCTATTATTTTACATTATTATACTAATTTCTTTTCATAAAGATTTTAATAAAACTAAAAGTATAAAAATATTTTGATCATTTTTAAAAAATTGATCTGCCTATAATTTAAACATATGTGATATAATATTTTTAAAATAGATGTATAATATCAATTGGAAATAATCTAGAAAAATTAAAAGAAAGTAATTCAAAAAGAATACATTTTCCTTTTATTCCTATAAAGTAAATAAATAATTTAATTATAAAATAAAATATATAAGAATTTGTAATTATTATTTATTTATAATTATTATATTTCTTAACCAATATTTCTTTATCTTTGTAATGCAACTTCTATTTCATTAATATGTAAAAGTCAATTTGTATAATTTTTTTTAGTATATTTAGCTTTAGAATTAGTAGAAAAATAAACATGTTTATGCTTTTGTGAGTAAATTTCTTTAATCTCATAAAATCTATAACTTGAATATAAATTTAATCCTGTGATATTCATAATTTTTGTAAAACTAGAATATCACCAATCTACATAAGAATATATACATATAATATAGATCACTCTTAGTATATGTATCATAACATATTATACTATTTAAAAATAAAATATTATTTTAATAAAAAATAATAAAATACTTAATTATAAATAAATATAATAAATTACTTACTTTCTAATTCTTTCATTTTATCAATAAATAGTCATAAAAATATATTAAAATTCTTTGGTTGATTTAGTTTAAGAATTAAAAAAGGAATTAATAAATTTTCTTTTTTAACTCTAATTGAAGGATTTAGATTATTATTTATTAACAGAAATAATTAACAATCATCAGTTTTTATTTAAATTCTGATATCTATCATAATATATTATAAATATAACTTCTCATTGATTACTAAATAAATCTTTTTCTAATAAATCTTTATATATATTTTCATCAAAATATCTTCTAAATCTTCAGATTTAATCTTTTTATTAGTAATATATTGATGTTGATAAAATAATTTTTCAGCTCTTATTTTATTATTATATTAAATCATCAGTTTTTTTTTAATAGAAAGATATAGTATTACTTTTTTAGATTTATTTTTTGAATTATATCTTAATGTATTACATAATGAATAATTTTAATAAGTTTTATAAATTCTAATATAACATATACAGAAATTTTCACATATATCATAAAATTTTAGAACACGTTCTGTAATTTCTTCTAATATTTTTTTTAATCTTATATAAACTAATATTTTTATTGGCAAATAATTTGATAATATCATTATATACTACTTCTTAAAATTATATAATGATTTTAAATATAAAAATTTAAGCCTTTTATAATTTCTTTACTTAATCCTTCTTTAATATTAACTTGCATCATATAATCTATATTTTCATTTTCATCTTCATTTCATTATAATTAACATTATTTTTTTTATTAGTTTCATTAATATTATAATCTTCATTAACTTTTTCTAAAATTTTCTTACTTATAGATAAATATTCTATTTCATTTATATTTGCTTCATCTATTTGAATATCAATTTCATTTATTATCTAAATATTCCTTTAAATTTTATTGATTAATAAATAAATATTAAATAAATTATAATTTATAATATTTACTTCATTATTTTTAAATTTATATTATTACGGTCAGTTCTTTAAGATACTTATAAGTAATAAGTAAAGCAATATTTATGAGTGGTAAGTAGAAGGTTTAATTTGATGTTTAGATTTAGAAGAGTGTTAGTAAATTAACAGTTTATTTAATAACTATAACAATAAAGTACTGCCTCAGTCAGTGCTCTGTACTAACAATTATGTTAGAGGGATTAAACTAAACTATTATATAAAACTATGAGTCAGATACACTGCTAAGCTAAAAAAAATTATCTTCTATTTATATAAAATGAAAAATATAAAGTTATCGAAGATATAAAAGAAATAAATATAATAAATAAAATAAATAAAATATAATAAATATATGAGATAAAAGAAATAAAAGAAATATATTGTATAAAAGAAATATATGCTATAGATTACATAGATGACATAGATGACATATATGATTTCTTAGAGATCATCGTTATCCTTTAGATCATCATTATCCATATCTTCTTTCATATAAAA